GATCCTTGTTTCCAGCATGAATTCACTGCAATGAGAAGATTTCTCTCTGTTAATAAGTAATTCACTATGGACAATTAATCAATCTATTTAAGATTTAATTGAAAGGCTGTTGTCGGCGTAATTGGAGGAACACAGTTCCAGCCCTAATCCAGATTGATATCTGCCAAAAACCCTTGAGAGTCCTGGCATGGATGTTCAAGATACCTTGAAATTGAATTCTTGTAATTTTAATTAAAACTCTTAATACATTTTATATAAACACCTGGATAAAGTAATTCCAAATTTATTTTTCAGTACTTCAATACGTCCAAAGTGTTTTAATGAAATTCAGCAAATCCATTTATTTATTTTTTTATTTCTTTCAAACTTAATTGAATTCAAAATAGTTTATATTATATTAAAACAGTTTATATTAACATCTGGATTTAATTCCAAATTGATTTTTGTGCTAAATAATATTTAATTACACATTTAAATTCAATTTTCATAATGTTAATTAAAAGTTTTATATAATATACAATTTATAATGAGAGCAGAGCAAAATATTTGAAAACTATTTTAATACAAACTAAATTTGGTTAAAATTATTTAAATGAACTGAGCAAACTTTTCAAATTATCTTTTTTATTTCCTTGACAACTTCAATTACATAATTGCATATTCCTACATTATAAAACTATTCACTACAACTTAAAATTTATTTTTGTTTACTTTTAATAAATATTAACTGTTTTTTATATAAATATCAAAACTTAATAGAATATTTCGTAACATTAGAACTTTCCTGATCACACCTCTATAAACTCAACTAATTTTTAAATAAATAAATAAATAATTCATTGGTATGGTATGGAAAACTCTTAAACATCAAATTATGAAGATGTTGTGCTAACTTCAGTCCACTTATATGACGTCGCCTACAAAGCCGGTAAGGTGCGCCCTACTCCAGCTCGCAGCTGGTATTCCGGGAAGGACTGATAAGGGTACTACCTTGTTTGGGTATAAAAGCTGCAACATATCTGTATCCGGGCTCTTCTCTTCCGCTTTTCTTGTGTCATAATAACATGTAAGGTTACCTGTATTATCTCGTGTGTATTCTCTGTGTTGGTTCTCGAGCCTCGGACAACTTATACCGTAAGAACCCTTTGTATCTTATGTATCACTGCAGTATATCTAGCCATGATTTACCCTAATAAACTTATATAATCGAGCATCTAAAAAAAGACAAAATATAAGTAAACCAAACATCTAAAATATCAGCATTTTAGAGATCACTCCACAAAGAAATAAACTATACTACTGGAATTGTTCAAGAGATAACTAAAGACATAGTCCAGCAACCATCCTTCACTTCGATCACTTTGCGTTTAGATCATTTATCAGCACAGTTTACAAAATTCTTAGAACTGGTTTGGTAAATCTTGTATCTTTAATCGTTTACGTCAATGGGTAGTTGTATTGGTCAACTCTACTTCTAGGTGGTTTGAGAAGACTTCCAGTCGATGATAGTAGGTTGTGCAGCCTTTTCTGATCTCTTTTTTACTGGCTTGGTGTTTGTAAACAAATGAATTTCCTCATTTGTGGAATAATTAGGTACATTTATGATTAGCCTCATTGTCTTTGATTAGTATTGTATGCAATACATCCAAATTGGTTTTAGGATGGATTTATATACGCGACGAATACCCATATACTTAGATTCTTCAGTTTGAGGTTGTAGGTGTTGATTAGGAAAACCGGTGGACATATTTGTCTACGCATTATACATGATAAGTTAGGATTTAGTTTCATTTTCCTTTATCCTCCACCTTTTCATACAGTATTGGATATTGTCCAGGCTCTCCTGTAGCAGATTTTAAGCATGTACTAGGTCAGCATCGGATACAAGAATTGTAGTATCATCTACAAAGGTAGCTACTATGACCTGCTGTTGTATCAGTCTCAATGATGTAATTTCATCTTTTATTTTCACCTAGAACTGCCTTAGCATCAGGTACGATTTGTATATATGGTAGTATACATTTGAGAAGCATTTTTATAACTTAGATAAAGAATGAAACAAATATATTAAGATTTCTTAATGAATTGAAAATATTGTCCTTGAAGTGAATGTTATTTCCCATATCTTATCGGACAAAGAAAAAAAAACATACCTAATGGCACTGCTTTTCTTTCGGACCCGAGTATTTCGCATGTCAGTGAAAGAATGAAAAGAAAAGGGAAAAAAGGGCATGGATCCGATGGTCAGTATAAAAGATATCCCATCATCAAGATATGTTATTATTTGGGAGAGACGTATTGATTAATCGCGACGCTTTAAGCTTAATCAATTTTCATCTTTTCTCGGTCTTAGCGCAACTCGAGTAAGCGCATTGTCTTGTAAACGTTCCATCCTATTTTGGGTAATTAAAGCCGTGAAGTGTCGAGCAAAGTGTATGATTAATTAATTTTTAGAAAATGCGTATAAACTCACTTAGAGGACGCACCCTTTCGCTTCCCTTCGCGCACTTGCTAATAATACGGAGGCGGCATGAATTACGGAGCGCAAAGTTATGGTTTTGGGAATTTGAGCCATAACCGTGATTAGGGTATAAGGGGCCAAAGCCATTGCCGACTCCCAGCACACACGTCGTCTCGCAGACATTTGGCATGAGCTCGGCTCCGGATGCTTTTCGGAAATTGCTCGGTACCGAATTTCAATTTCCTTCATAAATAATTCACCGTACATAATACAATAAAAGCAAAATTGAAAGACGCAGGAATGACGTGAAAAAGAGTGCTGCAAAATGAGTGAAACCGTCAAGTGGGAATAAAGGATATATATATATTTCCTCCAACTGGGCCAACCGCACGATCGCATCGATTTCGACGGAGTATATTATATTTTTCTCAACAATATCTTAAGACTCTCAGAAGACTTATGATCTGTGAAATCCGCATTTATAAGCTCCAGTTTTCAAGTTGCATTTAAGATTCTCCTTCTCTATCCATTTCATTCCATTCTATTCGTATTTTCTCTCAATTTATATCCAATCGATTAAGAAAGGCTTTACGAGTTTCGCTCAAAAATTCACCACGAGGAAATGGACAAATCTCGATTACACTCGTATCCCCAAGATTTGCCTTTTGTGCTCGCAAAGTTCCGCAATTAATGCATGGACGAATGTGCCTTTTGTGCTCAAAGTCCATTAGATGGAACGACATCCTTCTGAGAAAATGTATCACTGCAGTTCTTATCGCATTTCTTGAGAAACTCTTGAGTTACTCTGCACACTTGAAAAGTTTTGTGAATTTAATATGTGCAACTTCTAAATGTTACATGTTTCTTTGAGTCAACAATAAACTACTTTTTTTTTTAATACGCTCAAATTTTACTTTAAATAATTTAAAGAGTTTTATAAAATATTGTTTTAATCAAAATAATTTTATCATAAAATACAAATTAAATTTGGATAATTTCATTTTTGATAATGTAATTCAGTATATACAACTTATGTTTACTGAATTTACATTTTTTGATATATTTTTTGTAAATAAAGTAAAATTATAGTGACCATTAATATTTTATAGTAAAAGTTAAATTAAATGGGAAAATATTGATATGAATTGCTTTCAAATAATCATGAAATTAGCATCCCATGATTAGCGTCCAATCAAAATAAACAACAATTTAGTTGAATAAATGTAAATAAATTAAAATATTAAATTGTATTTAAATTTGAAGTATTGGTTACGTAAAAAGTTTTGAGCGTTATTCGTTAGATGGCTTTAGTGAGCCATATGTCACGATGTATACATTGCATCTTGTCATTCAATACTGCGACTTAAAGGCGACATAACTTTCGACAGTTATGTGTTTAGTGAATCCAGTTGTGTGTTAGAGCGTTCCAAAATGGAGTTAAAAAAAAGAGAAAAGTGGATACATTCTTCTGTACTTCTACGACCAAGGGGAAAAGCGGAGTAGGCGGCCAAAAAATTGTTGTTTATATTGATTATAGCAAATATAAATTAAACTATGCTTATCAGCTCTTTGCAATGGGTTTGAATTATTAGAATTATCAATATGTATTTATTTTTGTTTATTTTTTCATATAACTGCTGCAATAAATGTTAATATTATTATAATAATGGTATGTAATTCTGTTGTTGGTAATTCGCATGTGATAAATTGTACTAAAGAAATACCTGTCGAGTGCAATTTCCTGCGGGATAAAAATTGTTTTCCTTTTTTTGGGGGTAGCTGAATTGATTACTCGCATTTGGCCAGACGAATGGGGTCGTAATGAATGAAGGTTTTCGGTTGTAGTTCTTCCATGGATTCAAAGGTCGGAGGATTTAAAAATTTGCACACATATAAAATGGCTATCAAAGTGTATCAAAGCAACAGCGCATTTGTTGATCAACATGTATGCGTTTAGATAATAGGTTTTAATTACAAGGGTATAATCCAATATTTGCGCTTGCCGGACAGGTGGCGCAACGAGCTGCACACTAGTATGTTCATCTGCTTTTGCTGGCGAAGCCGTATAATGGATGGCGGAACAATGGTATGGCGTGGTGAGCATACACCGAGCTGATGGAGATGAGCTGAAGAGGACTCCACAAAACAGCGAACTTCGCCTAATTAATTAACATGTATATACGAAGTGAAGTGCGTGAGTGACACGTATACTCAGAAGCTGCGTTATTCAATACGATCATCGTTTTGCGCGAAACGGGAAAAGGCCCAAAGATCGCTTTGAATTTAGATTATCTGAATTTGCTGAAGGGTATCGAGCTTTACGCAGTTCATTACGAAACCTGCTCGTTCCTCCTTTCCGAATTTACGGTGCCGATCCGAATTTCGACAATTTACTTAATTAACGTGACCATTAGTTACCCATCATTGGCGTGCATCCGGAGCGAAATTCATTTCCACGCGATTCTGATCACTTTTAATTAGTCACAATCGAATGGTTTTGCGTGTGGCCATGATTTATACTGGACGTTCTCTGTTCCAGAAACGGCGTCCCTACTGTGCTTCGCCAACATACTAGGTAAGTATATCTACTCAGCAATGAAACTAATTCATTATGCTTCGAATAGATTTTTCTAAAATTTTCTTTGTTCCTGGGAAATTTAAAAAAAAAACTTAAAATAATAACAAAATTGTTTACATTTTTACACAAGATTGATATAACTTCTTAAACCAATTGCCAGTTGCTTAAGTCGTAACTAAGAATAACATTAAGCAAACATAAGGAAACTTTATACTTATTAAAATAATACAATTGTGATAAAATTTAAATATTTTTAGTAAAAACTGATTAACAATTTAATTACATTCTTTTAATTGAAAATTTTGTGTGCAAAAGAGCGATTAAGTAAGATACAATAAACATAAATACTTTCACTTAATAATAACGGACACGTTAACACATTTTTTAAATATTCAGATCCAGTATCTAAATCACTCAGACTTGTTCGTTTTTTTGTTATTTCTACGACAGTTGTAGTAATGGCAGATTAATTCAACTGAAATCAATTTCAATTATCTTATTGCTGTATATTCCTACATTTTAGAGGATTGTGCAAAAACTGGACGATATCCGAAAATTTTGTGCATCGATCTAGAATATGTTAATTCCCTGTTTATAGTAGTATTTTACGCAGACAAATTATCAATCATAAATTGATGGGTAACATCGGAATTATGTAATGTACAATCTGGTAGCAATAGGTAGCAAAGTACATATTATCATGTTATTGATATTAATTTCATGTTCTGAAAACACAATTTCAATATATAAATCTGTAAGACATTTTCTAAAACATTATTTCAATTGATAGAATTGTTCAATAGGTTTTTCCATGTCGTTCTGTTATCCAAAATAAAAAATATTTTCTTCATAAATTCATTTTTGAAGTACTATTTAATAACATCATTTTTGGTGATCGTTGAAATAATTTTCCATTCGTTGGATTTTAGTTATAATTGGTAAAACATTGTCATATGCAACATCATTTTCTATTTCCGAATCAAACCATTAATTACCGGTATTTCTTATCAAAATTTACCGGTATTGTATAAATAGATTATGAGTTATATAATGTACATAGACTCATATTTCTGGTATTTTATGTTTTCTTATTATCAGCTGACAAAGTAGAACCTTTATATATTATTGTTTTTCTAACTAAGTTTAGCCCAAACAGTAACAAAAAATGAAATTTTTGAATACATTTTGTACAAATTGTAGCTTTTGTAGTTTTTTAATTAAATTATTAACAATATGTATGCGAGATAAGATGATGAAGATTTTGGTTTCTGTGAAGGCTGTAAGAAATAATTATTCATGTTGTAACCGAGATGATGCCGTGCAGGGCCCGTGTAGAATGGAGGGGTGCAAGCAAAGGTTAACGTCGCGGTTGTCGCCTGCAATTTGTTAATGTCACCGGGACAGTGACAAATATATTTATATTACAGGTGACTGTCTCCGTGTACTGCAATTTATACGGAAAACGTACTTACGGCAGCCTTTATACCGAAAATCCAAACGTTAACACGCCCGAAATCCATTAATAATCTTAAACGCGTTTCACTTTACTCGCTTAGATAATTTTTTAATATGCGTATCTACCCGGCGCATCCACTCACATTTCGATGATTTATTACGTGTGGGATAGATGTCGCTTTTGCTAGAAGCATCGAGGAAATGAAAATATACTATATGTATTCTTTCTTTAAGGTAATGTTAGTCTTAGTGAATTTCTTGAGGAAGGTATTAAGTGCATGACAGTGTGCATAAATACGTGCGCGAAGCCGGAATTGCGCCCTAATGGCCTTTTGATTGTTCCCACGCCCTGCAGCGCGAGGAATTTCGAAAATGCGCGGAGCGCAATTTCGGGCATCCGCCTCGCTTGGTATTCATTATTCATTATGCAAGCAGCGAAATAAAAATTCTAATAAAGCATATGGCTTAGTGGCAAGCTTCATACACATATCCTGAACATCCCCCTTTTTTTTTGCACCGTATTGTAAACTTCCATTTGCCACCAGTTTTCCATTTATTCACGAACGGCAACAGGATTTTTGTTTTCAAGTTGAAGTCGATTTCCATTTAGAAAATTAAACACTGTTTGCATCAAGGTAATGCACTCAACGTACGAAGAAACTTATTTTGTTTTGTCTATTATAATCTTAAGGACATTTAACTTATAGTATACAACAATCGGTGTCTATCGAAATCCCGACAACCGTAATCCCGACAGTATCTGATGTAGACTTATTCATAATAAACAATAAGAAATAATCTAAAATACAAAATATACGTCAATGGGTCCAATTAAAGCTAGTGAATCGGACCAGTTGCTTTAATTGGACCCATTGAAGTATATTCTTTTTGCAATTTTTCTCTCTACTTTATTTATTTTTCAAATATTCTCAATTTGTATTTAAATACAAAAGTTAAAAAAAATTATATCATAAAATGTTTTTAACACAACGAACAAACTATTAAAATAAACTAATTTGAAAACAGTTTGCTTCCTGGTCCCGTTCCAGCTTTTTAATTTGTTCCTACCGCTCCCGTTTTCGTTTCCTCTTTCACTGGTACAACTCCGGTCGCGAATAAATGGAATAATTAAAAGAAAAGGCGGATTTAATTTCGTTATTTACATTTCCGTTTCGCGTGAATAATTTGCATTGCATTCTCCTATTTCCCAAAACTTTCTCATTCTCGACAGCTCGAGAATCTATTACACCAACCAACCAAAGGAGACTATAAGGAAATTACTGAACTGTTCTCCTCTTTGATTATATTTCATTGTAAATGCGCATCTCACTGAACACTGAATTACTAAAATCTTCAAGACACTTCAGATTATATTTAACTAATTTCATATACACAATTGCCGCATTTGTATCTATTGGATTGTTACATAAGTCATTCTAAAAAAAAGTTTTATTATTAAATATATTGTCCAATATTTTGTATCACTCTTTCCCAACGTGCAGGCAATTTCATAATGCCATCTCTCTAGAAGCCTTTGTCCTTACGCTCGTAAGTATCATCCAAAGATTTCATATTTAGATATAATTGTATACCTTGAAGATGAAGATTAAGAAGGAAAATAATATGAATTCTTAATGTAATAATAGCTAGTATATTTTCAAATTAATTTAGATTTTTAAAGTAACTCTCCTAAATGTTCAGTTATAACTCAATATTAACTAACAAACTAAAAACTTTATGAAGATAAATGCAATGTAATGGCTTTGTTAAAAGACTTTATTCTCTTTTTTTTGTATTAATTGGCCGTCTTGATGAATACGATTTTAGTAACAACAAAAAACTGGAGTAAGATGAATCTTCTTGGCATTCTTAATAGACTCGAGTAATAAAATAGGTTGTGTACTTGTAAATTAATGCAATGTAAGCGCTTCTTCGAGAACCATTTTTCTTCCTCAAACCTCCTCCTCTATTCTTTATTTTCGACTCTCTGTCCATTCCATTCTCCTTGCGAGTAATTGAATCGTAGGGCAAGTCCGGAATAATAAAACGGCGGATCACGTGATCGGCCTGGCACGTCTCAAATAATTGCCACGTCGACACGCCACAGCGCTAAATTATTGCAAATTGATTAATGAACTTTCAGCTGAAAACCTGAAAACGAAACAAGCAAACATAGGCACACACAGAGAACAATAAAAAAAATATATATAAGCGAAACGCCAACCAAGATGGAAATATTATTTTACGCAAACAATGCATTAATTTGGACTGTTTTAATTCCGCTTTCAACTTTCGCGAATAAATCAACGTCAGAATATCGCGGACGAATAAGGAATTCAGACACGTCTGCGGGGAGGGCAGGTTGCGGAGAATTTATGTTCGCCGATGAATTTGCTACATTTCGGACGGTTTCAAATTGCGTTTTCGCGAAAAGAAAAATAAAAACAGCAACATTGTATTAAATGTAATTTATTAATACTAATTCAAAGTTATATTATGAATTTAAATAAATTAAACTAATGATTATCTTTGTAGATTTATTCATTTTTATGATTGACTGAAATTTTTTTTTGCAAAATGATCAAAGACTTATTAAAAGGTCTATATTGTCAGCCCGATAACTGAAATACCGTTTATCGAAATCCGGACGTTCGAAATCCCGACTATATCAAAATCTCGTCAACCATAATCCCGACTGTATCAGAATCTCGACAAACATAATCCCGATTATATCAAAATCCCGACTGTATCAAAATCCCGAAAATTTCCACAATAACATTTTTAAATTATTTCGGAGCGTAGTCACTTTTAAATTGATTTCGAAGTCGGGATTTCGATACAGTCGAGATTTCAAACGTCGGGATTTCGAATGTCGGGAATTTGATTGACGGTATTTCGGTTGTCGGGCTTGCGATTGCCACCCTTGTTAAAAATGTTACCAAATGTAAATAATAAATAACTAAAACTAACCACCTTTTTGGGTTATTATTAAAAAATTCTAGGAAATGTCCAGGAAAGAGGAGTTATCCTTGAATTTGGTTGGTTTGTGAAAGGATGAATGTTGATAGGCCATACTATACGATGTTGATTCAGTTCAGGTAGTTGTCAGATTCAGTTATCTAGAAATTTGTTGGCTCTAGAAATTTAGGAACATGTGGCCACTCAAAGTGTTAAACAATACTTATTATGAAGAAAGAAACATTACTACAATATATTCAGTAAAAAAAGTATGCTATTAGGATTCAATGGTATGTTTAGAAATATATGTGATTATTGACTTTATATAAATATAGTGGTCCATCCTGGGAAACAGTTGCTTTGATTTGACCAATTGAAGAGTATATTATTTTCCTTTTGCAATTGAAATAGTTGAATGATTGAGAGGATAAGTAGATTATTACACAATATCTATATAAAATTATGGAAGGTGTATGAAACACGACTTTATATTGTGTGAAGTTAAATGAAATTAGAAGAGAATTTGTTTGGGGTCGCGTACATTCCATTCTCCCCGTTTCTGTGTGAATGTGCACAGTTTTTTT